CCCAGCCCAAGCATCGGGGAGAGAATTAAAGTGGTAAGGGAAAAAAGGACTCATGGGTTGAGATAAGAACAATTTAATAACTAAACTACAATAATATTGAAAATAATACTACCTGCAAATATACAAATGAGTGATACTGCCCCCCCACCTGATGACCAAGGCTCAGCCTGTCCCTGGTTAACGATCCCGGAGCAGGGAGAGTCCCGAAACCACACTCACGGAATGGAGATAACAGTCCGAGCATCCCAGACCAAGAGCTGACTGGGGTCGGGGGGGGGAAAGGGCTTGGGAAAGCGACCACCCGGAGTGAGATGACCCGGAGCAAGAGAGATCTGGAAACAAAAACTGCCAATTTTCCGGAGGATCCTCACCTATATACTGGGCATGACGTGTATGTTATGGAATAAATTATTGGCCACTCTGGGTCTCAGGCCCGAACCTGAGATCAAATCCTGGGCTAGTAACTGGGGCTGTGCTCCCTCCCAGCTTCTCCTGTTTGCGGACAGCCAGAGAAGCTCAAAGACCTTGGTAGCTGCATAAACATCACTTTTTATCAGCTTTCTTCTGAGCACAAATTCAAAACACAGCCTCTTGCTAGCTATTATGAAGAAAGTTAACTCTGTCTCAGCTTAACGCAGGACATAACTGGAGCCTCTGAGGTTTGTTGTCTAACCAGGCTTGAGCATGAAGGACTTTTACTCATCAGAATCAACAAGGCATAACTGCAAGTCAGCACTTTGTGCACTGATATTACACCTTCCATGTCTCTGCTTTCTTTTACTCACGGAAACCCTAGAAAATTGAGCTCCAACAAGATGGGAAGAGAGGATGAGTTACTGAATGAACACATGGATACTATAACACCAAATGGCCTCAGGTACTGTTCAGTAAGTGATTTCTAGTCCCTCAAATGACTATCCACATGTTCGTTCCACTCCCAATTCAAAAGCAGTTGCCAGCTCACTCAGAAGCCAAATGTTAAAGCATAACTTTCAAAAACACCTCTCTTCAGGGATGTAAAAGGCCTTCTTGAGCTCTGGTGAAGTGCAGTCTAGAAGCCATAGAAGATGTTCCTTTTGGTACTTCAAAACTTCTAACTTCCAGCTCCATTCAGAAAGCCTTTGGATAGGATTAGGTATGCAAACTCCTCCATCAGAGCCACAATCCACTGAGGAATCACCATGGATAGCTGTGTTTTATAGGTGGAAACTAGGGCACATTATCTCTCAGATATGACAAGAGCTCTCTAACCTGGACTTCCAAAATTTTTCAGAAATAATCTATTGTGTGCCATTATGACTAGAAAGCTAGAATAAGTAGGTTCTGTCGTAACAATTCAGACACCCCCCAGTCATTTCACTGTGGTCACAGATCAAGAAAGCCACTTCACTGAGAGAACATGCTCCAGCTGGCCCACAAAGAGTCAACCCATGACAGCTAGATGGGCTAATTAGTGGGACTGAAGTCCCACTTCGATACTATATTTATATTGAGGGAAGCGCAACTGTATCATCACAAGATGCATCAGCCAGAGCCTGGAGCTAGTGCTCTGGCCCCTCTCCAAATGAAAGCCCTGGCTATTTTTCTTGCTTTTAAGAGCAAACAGGTCCACTCCAAAACACTAAGCCTTCAAAAAAGGCTAGGCACCAAGCTTGAGCAAATAAAATAGAACATATCAAGAATATTTAGGAGGGCCTCCTTTCAAGACCTTTTATTAGACGTAAGGCTAAGCATGCACGGAAAGGTTGATCCCATAAACACAGCAGTTTCGAATTCTGACTGCTTCTTCACAGAGACTGGAGTTATCCGCCCCCACCACACAATGAAACACAACTGAAAAGTCACAACTGGCATGAATATGAGGGCAT